TCCTATTCATTTCACCTCTGTTTCCAATAACGACTGTTGGTGGTGGAGGTCAAATAATGTCGGAATCAATGCTTTCGTTATTTAATAGTACTGACAATAAAAAGAAAAGTTATTAACATTTAGCCACACTCTGTTGTCCGAGATACATGTGTATTATTTTCATAGCAAATCACCATTTACTGTGAATATAAACAGTCAGAATAATGCGTGGCGGCTGTTAGTTATGTTGTCTGTAATATAAACCACAAACGACGTAACATTTGAATGAGGAGAGTTGATGTGAAACGATACGCGATAAAATCATGACTGACAGCTCACGCGAAGCCCCGGCGCGAAGCTCTGCCTTGACCTGATGTGAACTCTCATTTGCATATGTATGAAAGTGACGAGTCTGCTTGGTTGCCATGAGCCATAATAGCCTGTTGTCGTATATGTGGACTACTGCCGCGCATTCAGCCTAGAGGGCCACCGCAAGCCGTCGATGTTTACTGCTAATTTACGACGGCTTACTGAATTAGGTATAATATAAGGGGAATATCCTGATTTGAGTTTTTTGGGAGCACGGTTCAAGAAAATAGGTATGTGTCGCGGTGTGTACAAACCTACGGTTATTGCACTGCGTTATACACTGCGTTCATATACAACTATTTTTTGTACATACATTGCATAATCGCCACGTTTTAGATTTGGCGATTCATGGATAGTGTAGACAACGTCTATCTTACGAACCATTGATTTGTGAACAGGCGATGGTGGTTTGGCGTAATTTGGTGTTAAACAGGCGAAACAATTTGGCAAATACAGAAGTGTTCGCTGTGGATGCGCACTATACATATGGTTTCTGGGGTCACACAAACAATTCATTTACTTGATTGTAGACGACACCACAATAGTGGGTTCGATTAGTATGCATGCAGTCGTAGCCCGGGTTTTCTCGGCTACGAACATCTGTCAAGGCTTCTCCGTAGCGATCACTACGGTCAATTTATGTGTAACTAAATCGTATATTCATATATTGGTACAAAGATTGAATCAGGATTCTCCCAATTTATTAATCGTGAATACAGTAGTAGGCAGACAGTGATATGTAAGGTCACGTGAGAATATAGAAGAAGGCGGGTAGTAAATTTAGTGTATGAAACGTCGAATTATTATAAGGTCAAATACAAAAATATGTGTGGTTCTCATAACCCTACCCTGCCTAAGATGCATTGTCTAACTTTTTCGGGCAAACATTAAAATAATGGTGCGAAATCACGCAATATTGAAATTGGGACTTGAATAGAACTGACGCTATCCATAGTGTTGTACAAATTGGTACTGTATGTATCAAATAAGTTCTGCCAACTGATCAGCAAGCCAGCGCAAAGAAACCGAAGACTGGTGAAGAACTTGATGAAATTGAAATTCAATTCAATTCATTTTCTCTATGCTTATTTTTGAAACGCATCATCGATGTTGACATTTACTTATCATTGACAGATCACCATCAGTGAATATGAACTAACACCATTAGTAGAACAAACCGTCTCTAAATATGGCCAATGAAACCACACTTGTGCATGAACGCGAGGTAAGTTATGTAATAGAAATAACAAAGGGCGTAATTTTTATTTAACAATATCATTTTAAATACTGGGCAATATTACGTTAACTTCATTGAACTATTTTCCTCGAACAACAAGACTGGGAACATTGGAATTATTATTTGCGGGACGGATGTCGGATATGGAGACGCATTTTACGATGACGTAATTATCGCATTGCATTATGGAATTCTGTGTTGAGCGGAGCTTTCTCTCTAAATCCGCCACTGACTTATACGTTTCTTTCTTTCAGAGGTTCTGCAGAACACGGGGAGATGTGTTTATGCTGAATGAGAGTGAGAGGAGCCTTGGCGAGTTTCATCTGCAGTACTCATCTCGCAAGAACCGTTACGAACGAGGTGATCGTGACAAGGGACATTACAGTAAGTTTAGACGGATGGGAGTCTGGGACCTTCTACCATAGGAATGCTTGTCCAAGGAGTATTGTCGATGTAGGTACAAAAGTATAACATTAAATATACTGCGGGGCCTGGGTGAAGAAGAATATTTCCAAAATCATTTTTCAATGCATAAAATCCAACTACAATTTGTAAAATTTATTAGTTAGATGGCAGAACAAATACTTCTCTGGTCGAAATAAAGGAGTATTCTCTCACCCAACTTTTCAGTTCTTCCCAACATTGACATAACAAATCCACAATTGTGGTACAAAATATTCGACCTTTGACCCTGAATATGGCACCTTAGTAAATCAAACAATAATAATATTTTTAAGCGGTGATAAGCAAATATTGTTACAAATATTCAGTTGTTGGCGTTAGGAAATTAAAAACATGTAAATTCTTTAGTTGATATTCGAAGTTGAATATAGATCCATGCGATACATGTTTACATGTTTCGTTAAATCATCATGCAACAAGTGTTTGATTGGATGCAAATAAATGTAATAGTTTAGATTACGTCATATTGTTTTGAAACAAAAATAGAAATATTGGTGTTATACTCTGCACATTTGTTTATTGACTTTCAAATGCAACCAATCTCTTTTGCATGTGGTTTTATTTCCCGTGTAGTCGGGGTATGTGGACCCTATGTCTCTGGTATCGTGGAAATTTGACTTTGGGGCGTATGGTATAGACAGCGGTAAGGTAAAATGTTTGGCTGACGATTCGGTAAGATGGCGGCTGTTTACAAGGAAAGAGCATTCCGGGAACGCCTGGAGTGTGGAGTGGTTTGGAGGTGAGTTTTCCCAAGTAGATTATTTTCGTCACCGTTGGATTTGTTTAATTTCACTGTGTATCTGGGGATGTTGGAGGGCAGCTTCATAAATAACATTTGATTAGCAGGATTAGCCCAACGAGATTACACTACGATATAAACACTCCGTGTTTGCACCAAACAGATAAACGTTTGTTTGCAGCAAAACAATATGACGTGACTGGAAAAGTAACTTCCGGTATTTATTTTATGACGTCATATTCTGAAGAAATGCAGTATATATTGCCACAGACTAGCAGTGATAGTTTAATACTCGAGTCACAATCGCCATGATCATGGATTGCGCTAAATAACTAAACACGGATTGTATGTTAGCTAACCTATCTTAGTAGGAAACAACTGATCACTATGTAAACACATATATGTTTCCAACATACTCATGGGGAAATTGATTTATAAAGGTGAAGGTGGACACAACTCATCTACCCAACCATCCCGTCCCGGTGATTACTGATACTGTAAAAACAAGCGTCGTCAGATAGTTTCAGTCATTTTACGTCAAAGCTATAAAGTAGAACCAAATCCGGGAGACGCCGGATTTTGAGGAGAAAATTGTTTCATTAGGGCACAGTCCCTCAACACTTGAGGGACTGTGATTAGGGCGGGTGTCAACAATTTGCTGGACCAGTTAAGTCAAGTATGCCATGTCGTATTTTTTACCGATAACAAAGTGTTTGGGGTGGGTAAATTTTATTAGAATGTAGGCACTTGAGACCAAGTTTACGACCTAACTACCTGTCCGTAAAACACTGTATCGTAGTCAAGTCAATCCCGGGTGAGTATTGTTTCTCAGAGGTGCTATTGTTTTTACGAGCAAACTCAAAGTGTGGCACAGAAATACATAGTTTATCTGATCTGTTTAATCGATATCAACACAAATAAAAAAAAAAGTTTACTTTGTCGTAAGAATGACGTGATGTGTAACATTACATAAGGTTGACAAACTGACAATACTGACTTCTATTACAACACATTATAGTTCTGATGATGGTATATCAAATAAACACGGATATAGTTCATGCTAGTATCTTCCTTTTGTCTATTAAGGCAAAACAATTCTGTTATATATAGTATTTGATATTACATGGTTATTAAACTAGTTCAATCCGAGGGGTGATTTGACAGGTTACTTTTTTATTAGTTTTGGTTACTGACGTGCTTACATATGCTTACATATGAAAGCCTCGTTTTCCCTAAATTATTGTAAAATATATCTTGTAAAGATTTGGAAAGATCATCTAGTGCGGAAATGTGTTCTAGGTCAATTTGCGGGATGCTCATTTCCGGGTACGCATGCCGCACAGGCGTTCGTGGGTGTACTTAGCCTTGATTTTAATTTAAAGCCCCTTTGGCCGACAAAGGTGTCATGTTAAATCTAACATTCAAGTTGGTCTAAATTCTGTCAAGTTATATTTCGAAATATAAAATTGGGTCTAAGCGAACCACTGAACAAATGTCGTCACTGGATGGCACCTCCCTTCTTGGACTACTTCACCATTAATAAAAGAACACTGTTGAGTAAATAACGGCGGATAGTTGATGAGGACAATCACACAAATGTTTGCGCTTGCTCGATTGATTTATCAAAAATATTTGAAAATTAGGTTATTGAAATAATGATCTTCGCCAAAATTGAGTCAAATTTTTTTCTTGTGTTCCACTCTGAAATGAATGACTTCTGAAATGTTCGCAGAATATTGGAACCACATATTCGGATTAAAAAATGCACAAACAGCCGTTTTGTTTAGAAATATTTAGGAAAACGTAAAGTATGGAAATGATACTTCCAGTCCCATGGGGTACTTCCCACCTATACACTGGCATTTTGATAACACGCTATTATTTGGCATTTACCGATAGGAACGAAGAGTTTGTCCGACATCAGAGGAGCCTCGTTCATAATTTTAACAGCTATGTTCCCAAACCATGATCCACGTTTAGGTGCACCTAAGTTGCTAGTTGAGGAGAAGAATGCGTGCCACGTATTCAAGGTCACTGTGCAGCTGAAACGCAAGACCCACACTGTTGATAAGGTATGTATACAAATAAACCAACTCTTATTCATTTAACTGACAAAGCAATTGACAGTATGTATTGTGAGTAGTCTCAGCATCGTATGCGACTTACACAATGATGCGTACATATCCTTACTCACATCGTCAATAAAGGTGAGAGGTCAGTGGTGTACCGTACATCGTACGCTAGCCTTTTTTTTCATATAATATATATATACATCACAGCTTGGTAATTCCGTGAAATTAAGTCGGGTAATTAGTGCAATCAAATTTAATTATTGACATCACGGTCAACATCAAAATATGTTAGTAATTTCAGGAATTACAAAATATTTTCTGGTATTTTTAGATACTATTTAATGTTTGTGTTATAAATTCACATTTACTTGTTGCATAATTTCGTATGCTCCCTACTTCAACTTAAGAACATCCATTCATAGTGTTTTGGGCCACGGATTGAACGTATTACAAACATAATAATTCTTCCTTCATTGGACACATAAAATAAAACAGGTTGTTTTTCGAACTACAAAGTTCACTTAAAAGGTGAATATGTCATATACAAATGAGTGTGGTTACTCCTTACAGGCCAACGACTTTTCTGTTGCTGCGATGAATAATGACTTGGGAACAATGGAACAAATGCTACAGAAGGACTACAACCCCGAAGATCTCAAAGAATTGAACTCTGAGGGGGTAAATGCATTAAAGATTTTTACATACAAACAAAATACATGACAGAACGCTGACGCCAAACATAGAATAACTTTTGAATAGCTTTATTATTTATTCAGGCGTAAGCTAATTCGTCTTGGAGAAGAATATATATTTTTGAGTTTCTAGTCTAATCTAAGAGATGCAAGTTATTCGTTTCCACATTGTTTTCCGTTATATATAACTCCAAATTCTAAACATAAACTATTGTTATAAACTTTCAAAAAGATAGTTTGGAAAGGTTATCTGCTTTTCGTCGATAGTATGACTAACGAATGCTAATTTTACACACACAAAAAATAGAAATTCAAGAAATGTTATGTAGTACCACTATCTATCTGAAATCAACACACAACGTGGCTGCATTAGTAAATGCATTCAACGCAGTGCGTGTTGTTGTCGAAATCAGAAACTTTAAAACATATATTACTACCATTGTAGTGACGTTATTAAACGACAAAATTCTGATACAGTCTTATATATATATATATATATGTCAACACTTTTGTGTTTTTGTTCCAGGACACAGCGCTTCATGTGGCATTCAGGTGTCGCTCCGACGACGCAGGAGTTTACATGTTGAAGAAATGCCCTGAATTGAGAAACTACAAAAACAGATTCAACGAAGAACCTTTAGATATCGCCAGTAAAAAGATGCAACGATTAGCAAACTACAGATTTACGGATACAGAAGTCCAGGTGTCCGGTACGAATTAAACATTTCTCAGTCAATAAAAACTCCATGGTTCTATGACTAATTTGCATAACAATATATAGTGTAACTTCTTACGTTATTTTGTTTCATTCAAAACTGTAGAATGTATATACGCACCCTAGTATACATTGCTCTAGGGAGAACTCTGAGCTTTGCAGTGTCTGTGTTTTAGAGCGTATGTTTCATTCATTTGTGTTTTCTAATTCATAGACTACGAGAAACAATCTGTCGGCTATAATCTAAGGAATGACCGTGATTTTGGAGATGATGCTATTGGTCACAAAATATATGCAAAAAGTCTGGCGAACGCCCTGTACAGCTCAAAGCTACAAACGCCACTTACTGTCGGGTTATTCGCACCATGGGGATCAGGCAAGACCTTTCTTTTGAAGTTACTGTTAAGTAAGTAAGAAGAGAAAATACTAAATAAATAAAAACAAACATGACAGAGAGAGAGAGAGAGAAAAAAATGTAAGCTCACACTGAATAATACAGCAAAGTATACAGCATCGAATCGTGTGTGAGTTATGTGACACAAAGACATGATAGACTCTGACAATAATGTACATTTAATTATAATTTTTCACAGTGTAATAGCATGATCTCACCAAATCATATATTTATCTACTCACTAATTGTTCATAGATGAGATATGTTACAATGTCGTGAAGAAAGGCTACAGCAAAACAAATTTAGACTCGATGCACACAACTATATTGAACTATTAAACACAATCATACATTCTCGATCTTACTTTGTTGTGTCTATATTATAGAAATATTGAAAGGAATGCAGAAGAAGTATAACAAAACGAAGAGCACTTGCTGGAATGAGTTTAAGCTGTTTCTTCATATAGTGTTTTTTCTTCCGCCGCCACCAACCTACTTTGAGGAAACTGATGAGATGGATTTCATCATAGTCAACTTCAATGCTTGGGAATATGCTGGCAGTGATTCCCTGTGGGCTGGCATCGTGACAAATTTGGTCAGTAAGATCGAGACTTATGCTGGTTATTGGAAGACCAGGTTCTTCCGAATTGTTGCTAAACCGAAGGAAGTCGCGAAGGTTCCACCAACGAAACAGAACAAAGCAGCCAATCTGAAACTAAGAAAGACAACACTTATTGTGAAATTGCCGAATTTTGTATGGCTCGGGTTGTTTTTACTTCTCTTAGTAGCTGCCATCGTGTTAGCGGTGTTGATAGCTACTGGAGAGTTGCGAGTGGAGTATCCTTCCAATTCAACTGGTAATGCCACAGATGAAGTGCAGTCATCGGAAGGAAGTGCCAAAGATACACTGATAGCTATACAAGCTTGCATTACATCTGTTCTCGGAGGGACTGTATTTCTGAATATTAAAAGTATTGGGAAAGGTATAATGACCTTTGTAAATTCACAGAAAGATAAGATTGAGAAGATGGTCAACAAACCAGATTTCTCCTCGAAGTTGGGTTTTATGTCTGAAATTAAAAATGAAGTCGTGATTGCTTCAGCTTTGATCAACTGGATTTCCAGCTATAAGAAGAAACCTATCCGCGTTATCATTACAGTTGATGACCTTGATCGATGCCCCAAAAAGAAAGCTGTAAAAGTCATAGAAGCTATGAATATTCTACTTTCAGACGAGTTCTCACCCTTCATTTGCATACTTGCTGTTGACTCTAGAATTATCGTGGAGGCAATTGAAGAAAGCCTCGGCAAAGTAGCTATGAATGCCTATTTAACAGGTCACGAGTATCTCAAGAAGTTCTTACAGGTTCCGTTCTGTATTCCGGCTATGTCGTTAAGTTCAAAAGAAAAGTTTATGAGGAAACTCAAGGAAGAGGCTTCTTCGTCTAATGACGATAATGAAGACGATTTTTATGGCATAGGTTGGCAAGACCGCGAAACCGAAGAACCGGAAAAAGCAACTAAGTATTCGTGTTGCTGTAACGCGAAGGTTGAGGACGATGACAAAATTCAGCTCAAAGTTGAATCGCAATTCAATTATGAACTAAATAAAGATGATAGTTATATGGAAGATCTGTTGAAAGAGTTCGCGAGAAATAGAAATATTACAATACCTTGCTGGAAACCCACGACACATCAAGCGAATCTTTAATCTACTATGCATAACTGCGCATTTAGTAAAAGTATCCGGTGGTCCCAAATTCTTACCGAAAGAAATTGTCATGTGGACTGTGCTACTGGATCAATGGCCTTATAGGACGACTTACATAATCCACTACATAGAGGACTTTTTTCAGAGACAAGAACTTGGAATGGAAGTGGCCTGGGACGGACTTACTCATATGACAACCCTGAAGGAGATTTACCCAAAGGTGAAAGGTGATTTCAAAAAACCGAATGACTGGGAGATGTTGATATCGCTGGACGGAGACCCGGAGTTGATGCAAAGATATCTGAATACCGAGATGAGAGACTTTGATGTACGTAACGTTCAGCAGATTATACCTTACACTATCCATCTCGATCGATCTATCAGGTACTCTATTGCACATGCGCAGACTCTTACTGATATTGAGTGTTCTCCAGATCAGTCGCCTTGCACAATGTGCAACATTAACTCTAAACTCAATAGTCGTCTGGACGATTTGTGTGATAATTTAGGTTATTAGGGATGATCTTTGGTGTCACGTGTCGTTATTTTATATGCAAAAAATGAGAATACACAAATATTCAAGGTCGTCCAAGGCCATTCAGTATTTAAATAGCAAAAACATTTATCACAATATTGGAAGTATTAATCAAAATTCAAAAAATCATCACATTTTATAAAAAATTAATGTTCACCTAATAATTAAAATTTATTTGAAATGTATCTGTTAATTTAATAGATGTGTCGTCATTTGATATTGAACCATTTGAAATATACTATTATTTTTTAACTTAGGAAACAAATGCGAGTTGCTTAAGAATCAAAATTTCACGGATAATTTACCCAATATGTGTACGAAAATTAATGATCTTATTTTTTATTTAATAACCTAATAAATGAAATGTCTTTGTAAAATTCGAAAAAACATAGTGGTATGTATCAAACTAATGTAATACATCGCTTTGTTTGTTTGTTTGTTTGTTTGTTTATTTGTCTCTGTTGCGCATATATCAATTAAAGCGACACAGTCGTCGCGCCGCGCTGTATTCGTTATCATGGTCCCAATTCGATGTATATAACGTGTATGCCCTTACACTATACTGAAACGCGCGCGCTGCACGACGACTGTAGCGAACGTGACGTCTGTTGCGTCTTCATTTCTAGATTCAAACTTACATTTAAGTCACATCACACAGTAATGTTTCAATA